TATCGCAACAGCTTTTCGTCTTCGAATTTTTGACTTATCACGATTTTCCATTCAACGATCCACGTAATTTTTTTTCTTAATTCACGATCGTGTTTGGCAGTATGCTATTGAGTGTTATCGGTCATTCGACTTTCTTTTATTCTTACAGTAAAAAAAAGAAATTGTTCGATTCTCTCGATCGCCCACTTAACCCTTTCATTCTCAGAAATTTATCAAGTTTTTATTGTGTAGAAATTTGTCTAAATCGTAATTAGAGTCAGAATTCTTTTATTTCACATTTTAATTTGTAAAAAATTACTGGAACATTGCAATTATTTTACGAAATCATCAAAGTTTTGTTCTGTCAAAATTTTATTCACGGTAAAATTTAGCTGCTAAATAAATTTAATTTTTGTAAAAATTTAATTACGTCATTAATGAGAAAGAAAGTGTTAATTAAGTATTTAATTGAGCATTCGAACGATCGACGTCATAGAAATAAATCGTCGTGGCAGCGATTCGAACCATTGTCATAATCATCATCACTCGGAAGAACGAGGACAGTGTCGGCACGATTCAAATCGGCTCGAACCTTCAGTCTATATTACGTGGAAAGGTAATGAAAGAGAGAGAGAGAGAGAGAGAGAGAGAGAGAGAGAGAGAGAGAGAGAGAGAGAGAGAAAGAAAGAGAGAGAAAGGAAGAAAGGAACAGCAGATAACATAAAAGCAGATCAAGAAAGCACCATTACTTTTGATCATTAATTTTGTGTGCGTAAGGAAGTTATAAATTAATTATAATTGCTAATTTATTACAATAAATTTTGTACAATAAAAATTGATAAAATATATAAAAGATAATATTAATCTTTAGTAATAAAATTATAATATTTAAATAAAATACTTGGAATATTTAAATAAGATAAATCTAAATAAAGTAAAAATTATAATATAAAATGAGTAAGAGAATACAATAAGATGAAAAATGTGTGTCAAAAAAGAAATAGAATGCGATTGATTTTTTTTTCTTGGGGAGGAGGATGGAGAGTCCTACTTAACGCAGATTTCTCTATCCATCAAAGACTATATGATTTTCGGCAGTTGGTCGCAAATTCGAAAGGTAGAAAACAATAACAGTATGGCGTCGCCACTAACACAGAGGCATAGCGAATTGGAAGCAACGCTGCTTGGCCCGAAACGACCGGACCCCGACTTTGATTCTGACTTTTATATAAAGGCCAGCAGTCGGCTTCCGTGCATGAAATACCGCAGTTATGCCCCTGCACTAATTCATACTCCTCACGTAACAATGAAAGTCACTTCATTCACCTCTTATCCTTTATCACTTCCTATCTATCGACAATATCACGGTCGCTTCGAAAAAAACTTTGAAGAATTGTCCCACTTCCCGTCGAGTATCAATTGGAAAACATTATTTCCTGAATCGGTTTTCCGTTTTGATTTCAGACTTCGTCTCTGTTAATCGTCTCGCGGTTTTTTCTACAGGAGGATTCTGCTTGTGTGGTCAAACCGATGACGAAGAACATTCTGAAGAGCCATCTCGACCTCGACGCGATTTCCCGACATTCGACGGTTTCAGGATTCTAATCTAAAAGTATTTCGGTATTCGCTAGAGCTTGATTCTCAGCCTCTCTGTGAACTGGCAATGATTGTGTTTCTTCTTCAGTGTCCTGATTATGTCCATGGTCAGATTAACCATTGGAGAGCTCCATTTCGAAATGATTCCCTGACGCTCGGTTGCTTCGGGGATCCTATATAATATCCTCGCGGCCATGTTAGTTCGGTGACCGCGCGGTCGCCTAGAGTCAGACCCTCAGCTCCTCCATGACCTGAGGGTGATTGTGTCCCTTTTTCAAGGTTCCGGTGCCGGTCATGGCCAGGCTTTCCTGCTGGAGCTGGTTGGGACTGATGATAAGGTTCTGGCCAGGCTTGCCGGGCTTCGTATTCTTCGGTGGCGGGGGCGGCATAGGCACGTGACAGGTATTATTCTGAAGGTCGGCGAACTCCGGCGGCGGTATGTGCTGGATGTGATGCCGCTCGGCGGTCTTGGTTTCCAGCTCACCGCAAATGTTGTTCGGCATCTGGCCGTTCTCCTGGCGTTTTTTGGAGCAGCCGTGGTGCTGGTGGTTGCTCTTGTCGCGCTGATAATACACCCCGGCGAAAATGAGTACGTTCAGGATCAACAGGCTGCAGCCGATCGCGATTGTCACGCTCAGGGCGGTGGAATACGCCGCGAAGCCGTCCTCGGGTAACGCCGTGGTGTCCTCGAACGTAATGTCGCTGGGCATAGCCGTTGACACGTTGGACGAGGATTTCTCGATGGACGTCACCTCTAAAGTGGTCGTTCTCGTGGTCGTCGGCACCCTCTGAATGAATCTGGGCGGCACCTGGAGATAAGATTTTTCCTGAATTCAATATGATTGATTCAACTTGTTTTGATTTTGATAATTATACGATTGACCAATGGTTTTTATGATAACATTGTAATACCTGCTCGGCATCGAGAAGATGATGCGATCTAGGAACATCGTCCGAGCCGGGTTTGTGAAGGTCGGGCACCAAGTTCAACCAAAAAGAAAGGCGATGGGCCCTGTAGTGATTCTTCAGTTTCGATTTGAGCTCTGAAAAGTCAATGTACAAGTATGAGCAATTTAATTTATTTTATATACATACTAGCTGGTTACCCGGGCTTCGCCCCGGAGGACATGTATAATAATACACGCAAATAATCTCGCTCAATAGTCTCTCTCTCTCTCTCTCTCTCTCTCCCTCTCCCTCTCCGAGATTCGGTCAATTATTTCGCGTAAGAATTAAAAAAAATTAAAAAAACCGGTTTCCAGAAAATCGGTAACGAAAAACTATACACTTTACAGCACTCCCCGGAAAATTTTACCCCTATTTTATATGGTTCTAATACAAATTCGGTCCAATAGTTTTTAAGTTAAAAACGTTCAAACATACACCACACTTGTAAGAATTAAAAAAAATTTTTTAATGGGTTTCCAAAAAATAGATAACGAAAAACTATACACTCTATAGCATTCGCCAGAAAATTCTACCCCTATTTTATATGGTTTTAATATAAATTCGGTCCAATAGTTTTTAAGTTAATAACGTTTTTTTTTATTTTTCTAATTCTTACGGGTGCGGTGCATGCTTGAACGTTTTTAACTTAAAAACTATTGCACCGAATTTGTATTAAAACCATATAAAATAGGGGTAGAATTTTCCGGGGAGTGCTATAGAGTGTATAGTTTTTCGTTATCTATTTTCTGAAAACCGATTTTTTTAATTCTTTTACCCGTAAGAATTAGAAAAATTAAAAAAATCGGTTTTCAGAAAATTAGTAACAAAAAACTACACACTCTATAGCACTCCCCGGAAAATTCTAGCCCTATTTCATGTACTTGTGGTAAAAATTCGGTCCAATAGTTTTCACGTTATTAACGTTCAAACATACACCACCCGTAAGGATTTTATATAATAGTATAGATTAATATGTACAAAAGCTAAGTCTGTCTAAAGCATCAGATCTTGCCAAGTATCTGCTAAAAGTTTTGTCGGCAGAAAGACTATAGATTTGATGCCTGTTCTGATATATTAACGTGATATTGGCAGAAAACCAATAGAAGTATAATAGTCTACTAACATAATCGAACAACAGATTGGCTGCAGAAATCGAGCAGATCCTGCAGGAACCGCCCAGGCTCTGCGCGGTTTCTGCTGCCAATCTGCTGTCTAATTATGCTAGTAGACTCTGCTGATAGAACATAAGCTGAATGTGGACGCAGTTGATGTCAGTCTACCGGCATGTCTGATCAAATCTGTTACCAATCTGCTGACGTACTGCTATCATTTTGTTTACTGGGATATTATAATAATCTTTGCGCTATAAAAAGATATAAAAATCAAAATTTTTCAACATTATGTCTGTTGTATAAAAAAAGAGTAAATAAATTAAAAAGAAATTTAATATAAACTTTTTAAATATTTCATAAGACGGAAATATTTCATAAAAAAATATTAGACGAAAGAGAAACATTATGAAGGCTCACCTATGCTAAGATATTTTTTGTGGACGGCCTCATAAGCGGTCCAGTCGATATTTTTAAATTTGGTCCTTTCCGGTCTGGAACCGAGGGGTCCAGGATCAGGAGTGCCCTCGTTTGGATTCCTGGTCGATAGAGAGGAATTGTTGAACAGAAAATACATATATTATTTCACAAGAGCATCGCGAAAGATACGCTTGCTCGACAACTTACCCCGTGCGTGCAAAGTTTGTCAGATAGAGTATCACGCTCTCGGAGAGCGCTATCTCGGCCCTGGTATAGTTCTTCGGCCAATGGGACAAACCTCCGACCAGGGGCGCTCCGAAAAAATATGGCAGCTCCTCTCCGTGAATGCATCCCGGCCTCTGAAATAATAATAATAATAATAATAATAATAATAATAATAATAATAATAATAAACTTTATTAACAGGTAATAGACCCTTTAGCGTACAAAGAGAAAAGAAAAAACAAGAACAATAAAATAAAATTAAAATTTTACAACATAATATGGAGAACATTCAAGTTACAAGAGTAGACGAGAAAGTTTTTGTTTAAAAGTTGATACAGAGCCACCAAAAAAGTCAACCCTATTGGAGAAATTACTTGCAGATATTATTAGCCTATTTACACAAGAATTTGCGCTATACAAAGTACGGTGATACCCAAGGTGGAAGATGGAGTACTGTCTTAATTCTCTAGTCGGGATGTTAAAATAGATACGTTTCAACAAATCCGGACAATCAGTAGAGTAATTGAGAAGCTTAAAAATAAATGTAAGATCAAAGGTTAGTCTCCTACTTTCTAACGATAGCAGATTTAATCTATCTAATATAGTGCAGTAGTCATGGCAAGTAATTGACATGGGATTACCTAGCCGATAAGCAGCCATACGCCATAATTAACATGCTATACAATAAAAGTATAAATGTGTAAATTCCAAATAAATAAATATAGAAGCGAGACAGTAAAAATTGAAACAAAAATAAGAATTATTTCTGTTTTTGCCGTTATTTTTATTTCCATTAATTTTTTGTATGTAATACGATATGATAATTTTTTGTGTTTATCTCTCGTTTTCTTTCTGTTGTTTTCGGCTTGAAATAACAAATAAAAAAATTAGTCGGCTCGAGATAACTCTAATTTTGGCTTTAATAGTTCAATCGCGTGGTCTAATCGGAAGAAGAGGAGCAGGGATGAATGAAAAAGGATCGACGGACCGAGCTAACCGCGGAATTCAGCAGAATTTTTCAGGGTTCTTTCACGCTCGATCACATGGAAGCATTCGTGGAATCTGCCGGGGACCCAGTAGGGGCACTCACGATTTCTCGTTGAAATTGTAAAAATACCTCGGCCTGTTTCGCAAATTTCGCGTTTGCCTGCCATTTTAACAAGCCTGAAGCGCGGAGTTTTACGTCCTCGAAAAAATTCGAATTATTCGCAAGAAAGTAACGGATCATGTTTCTGCCTACAGTCGACTTTCAAAGCGGTTTTTATACTACAATTCCAAAATCCAAGAATGAAATATTATCCAATAATGATTGAGTAACTGAATCAATGGTTGATGTTATAAACAATTACAGAATAAACTGTCGGAATGCTTAATGAGTAATAGCAGTAATCAAGTCACGATTAAATTATCATTCATTAAACAGGAACTAATTACTCTTTTGATTGTTTCAACGAATTAACGTATTAATCTGTTATGACTCGTTTTACAATTGCTGGATTAAACGATCGAGCGAAATACGAAGCTTAGACTTCTTTGAAATATCAAACGCATTAAAAATGTCTCAATGTCTCGAGTTATATATTTCACTTCACGGCGCAGGAATATGAAATATTCCAGTTAGCGTTATATTCCTTTGCGAGGCGAACGTTTCGCCTCGAATGCAACCGAAACGTTTTTCTGGATGCAATCGTGCAGACGCAATAAGTTCGTTGCAGCGTTTACGCGCGATCCTTATTCTTCGTTGGCTTCGCGACGCGAGACGGGAGGGGGGACGAGGGGGGCGCGTTGAACGTTTAATGCACTTTCATTTCGCCGGTGACGGCAACGGTGATCGCCCAGGTCGAGGTGCCAGACGATATTCGTATGCAAAGTGCACCGGGTGTAAGGCATAAAGGTGCCGGCAGAAATGACGGCATGGGGTGAGAAGGGAAAAAGTGCGCGCGGAAGCTGCAGGTGCGAAGCGAACGTGGAATTTCAAATCTCTCCTTCTCCTTCCTCGTCGCGTCGTTCGGGGCTCCTTTAAAATTCCACCTCTTCGCCGTTGTTTTTTCGAATTTACGGGGGGATAAATATGGACGGTGATAATTTATTCAGCGAATTTTTACCTTTCGCGAAAAGTCGAAGGAAATTTTTTTTTTTAGAAGATTGTTCTAAAATTTTTCTCGAACACTTAACGATTTTTTAATTCTCCCGTACCCCGTGTCGTATACATTGCGTATTTATTTTTAGTTTATCTGTGTACTCGAGGGGTGTGGCTAATTGAAACACGGTTCACGGATCAACCCTGATGTAGGCGAAGAATATATATATATATATATATATATATATATATTGAAATAATATCGCGAAATTTCACGCAAACGGTAATAACTGATCTTATCGGTGCAATTTTCGGATTTCCTCTTCTACACATCCGTTTCTTGTTAGACATCCGGATGAGAGGAGAGTGGATATTGCTAATATATGTAGCATTAATAATCGCGCCACTGAAATTTATTCAAAGTTCGAAACTAGGAGTAGCTAAAGGAAAAGGGGATGGGGGAGGAAAGGAGCCGTACGCTCCATCGTAAGTTTCTGAAATCAGATATGAGCAAGAGTTGCCACCGTGTTGTCGCATTTCCGGTGAATCCCAACTTATGTTTCGTATACATGTAGGCGTTATAAATGACCTAAATAAATAATTAATATGAAAAACAGATGAGATTACGCATCTAAATAAACTTACCAAAATCTTTACCGCGCTACTTTTTATTAATAGAATTTTTTGATGTGTGTTTAGTTGAGCTTCTTGTATATTTAAAATCTGTACTTATTGCAAGAGATTTATTATTAAATTCCACAATTTAGAAGACAAATTAAATAATATCAAAAATATCGTGGATATAATGTAATAATAATTAAAAGTATATATATTCACAAATAATCAGATATATTTTCAAATGTCTTTTATTCTCTAGATTTTTTTCTAGTAATCTAGATTATACCAATTCTTTTTCATTCCAGCTTGTGAGATAAAAAGTATATTCCGATAACAAACCTGAGGATAGTCTCCGAATTTCGTTTGATAGTCGAAAACATATAGATAGGAGTTCCTATGGGATTGGCTGTGAAGATCCGCTGTTCTCGTCGCCGGAGCGACTGTATTCGCATCCCCTAGGGCCTCTAGAGTTTCATCTCTGAAAAAAATGTATATATATCCTTTTTGTGGTTTTCATATAAATATACTTCGCAAACTCCTTCCACAAGCTCTAACTGAAAATAAACTTAAAGACCGATAATAGAATTAAAATAAGTGAAATATAAAATTTTGTAATTTTTTTAAAGAAAATCTGTAAAATTTAAAATTATTTACGTATTTTATTTTAAAGCAGAAGTAATTAGTATATTAATCAAAAATAAAAAATTTTAAAATAGAAAACAAGATAACTTTGATAAGTAAATATTAGATTTATAATAAATCTAATAAATAATAAAACAAATAATTGTATATAAAAAACTAGTAAATATATACGATTAAGTATTGCTAATAAATAATAGCTGAAGATTAATTGAAATAGATACTTAATGGTAATTAAAATAAATAATAGATTATTATCAAGTATAAAGCTCTTAATAATAATAAATAAACGAACAAAGGCAAATAAGAGCTAGTTCGCAACGATGGTCCGGCGACAGTAACAAAACAAATATTACACTTATAAATAAATTAATTTAATATAATAAAGTATGTTATATAATAAAGTTACTTTATTATATTAATTTATTTATAATTGTAATATTTGTTTTATTATACTGTCGCCCGACCATCGTTGCGAACTAGCTCTTATTTGCCTTTGTTTGTTTATTTAATAGATTATTGTTATAAAATTTCTTTTTAATTAAATTTAGTCTTTCAGAATTTACCTAATATTGACGGGATGTTGCACAGGTCGTTCCCAGTCTGTATACTCATTTATTATGGTTGCCAGGATCTCCGGCTGGTGATACGTGTACGTGTTCCGCACGAATTGACGCAGGATCTTCGTTCTTCTGTCGGCCTCGATCCCATACTGAGCATCGTCGGCAGTTAGCGAAAAATACGCCTCGGAACGAACAACACCCACCATCAGGTCGTACCTTGTGAATAATTCAAAAATTTTTCTTCTTCTATCGTTAAAAGAGATAAAATAAAGTTTCACGAAATGTTAACAAGCTCGCAATTTACAAAACATTTACGGACTTATGAGCTTCGTCTTAAAGTATAAAAAGCTTCTTGAGATACGAGAAATTTCCTTTTTAGTTGTGGATCCTGCAAATATTGGAAGATTTTTGTTTACGTAGAATTCCGCATTATACAATATTTGTCAAAATAATAGAAAATTCCACAAATCACGGAAAAAATTAACAATATAAGTATAAAAATTTCAACTATTGATATTTGAATTCATAGAATTCTTAAATAAGATTTTCCATTGACACATTGGATACATTTTTCGATACTTTTATAGTCTTGTTTATGCGAGCTTTCCGTATTTTCCAACAAAGAATAAAAGGAGTTATTTTCGATGTTGCAAGATGCGATTTTATCTCTCTCCGTGATGTTTCTGCAAAACTCGGGTATTGTTTCTCGCGCTATTTATTTTCTCTTGCCTCGATGCTCGATTTTGCTAGTTATAACGGTTGGAGGCAAAAAGAAAAGCTCGAGACGATACCTCGACAGTTTCGCCACGACGTCCTTCCTCAGAAGAATGTTGTTGAGCGTATTGATCGTGTCGACTTGCAGGGTGTAGTCCTGATCCTCGGGATCGCCGGGATCGATTACGACGCCGTCTATACTGGGGCCGAAGGCTGGCGCGAACGCCAGCCCTTTAACGGGCACCGACACCAATTCGCTCAAGGACACGTCTCTCAAGCACTTCAGCAAGGCCTGAGGATCCTCCGCCACCTGCGCGACAGAATAAAATCAACACACTTCAGACGGATAATAACGATCAGAATCCTCCATTACCACATTTTGGTTTTTATACCACTCTACAAGCGCAAGAAAGAAGAGCATTAACGTTTTTCGATATTTGTCAACCTTCTCTTTTAGTGAAAATGAGCTGACAACAGTTTTCGAGTTGAAGCAACTAAAGAAGATAGAACTGTGGAAATTGGGTTTCAGGAAAACAAATAAATAACACGAGCATATTTCTTGTTTAATTTCGAGCAAACTTTAACAGTGTCGTAATTATATGCTTGATTACAATAACAAATTGTAAGTACGTAATATAACTAAGCTTAACTATACAATCATCGCTCTAAAAGTCGAAGAATGAAATATCACTGAAAACGAGTAAAATGCCAAGTGTAACGAAAAGTGAAAATTGAGCCCGTACACTTCGGAGTGAGTCGCCGCTCTAAAGAGTAAAATTGCGTTCTATAAGTTGGAGTAAAATCGCACTGCATTTGAGCGAAAGAGCACTCTTTTCGAGTGCAGTAGATTATTGCCCAGAAGTGAATTGTGTCACTCACAACTTTGAGTGAAAAATTTCACTCTGTTAGAGTCATTCCCAGTGAGAAACGATACATCGGATCGACGTCGATTAGATATCGAAATCTCGATATCAATATAAAATCGATCTTCACATCAATTTCGATATTCAAATGGTCAGTTTCAAGCATTCACCGACATCGAAATCCTTGAAAAATCGATATATTTCGTATGATAGCTAGAGCACTTTTATAATGCTTTTTGATGTCATAAAGAGTTTGCAAACGGAGGGATTCCATTCCAACCTTTTTGTAAGAATTATTTGATATTTATGAAAAATATAGCAATCGAATCAATGTCGAAACAATGTCAAATTAATGTCAAAGAGTTCAAATCGACATCGTTTCAACATCGATTTGATTGCGTGCATCATGCATGACTCTTAATTATTGGGCAAAGTTGTCCCAATATATTTTAAGAATATTTTATAATAATATATTTTAAATATTTATAATATTTTTTAAATAAATTTATAATTAATTAATAATATAATAATAACTTATTATTCTTACTGAAAACCATAATTAACTCGTTTTTTTTTCATTGAAAAACGTAATCCCCGGTAACAAATTTTTCATATTAACAACATATATATAAATGTATATAATCCTTTTCTAAAAAGGGCATTATATATATGATACATAAAATATAATTTATATAAATTATATATAATATATATATTAGGTCGCATACTTAGTTAATGTAATTCAAAACACAATAATTTTCAATTTTCTTCGATTCAGGAAACAATTTAGTTCTTTTTATCTCACAAAGTCGAATCGATATCGAAACGATATCGAATCATTGATAATGGACAAACATGAAAAACATTAAAAATCTTGAAAGAAAGTATTATATTATATTGCTACATGCTACCAACAGATTGTTTGCAAAGTTATCATAACATCGAAATAACCTCGAAATATTTGAAACTATCGATGTTCAACAACCTGACAAAACCGCATCGATGAGATCTGATATAGAATCAATATCGAATCGACGTCGATCCGATGTATCGTTTCTCACTGGGATTTGTCAATCGATCTTTAGTGAATCGGGATTCACTATAGCTTTAGAGTGAGATCGTATCACTCCGGTAGAGTAGCCTCTCTAAAAATGTAAGTGAAAAATTTATTCCTACCTTATGAGTGCCCGCATTTACTCAAATTAGAGTAACAATCGCTTCTGATACGTTAGTGGCGTAACTACTCTATGAGATTTATAGCAGCAATGCCACACAAGAATTGGGGAAGATCGCGATTAATAATCTCCTCTCGGCATTTTCGCTCAGAAAACGAAACTCGAATCCAGATTGGCCATAGAACCTGTCATTACAATTAGGACCGCGATCTACGGGATACCCCATTAACTCGTAACATTTAACGCGATTGTGCCCGGTAATTTTATCGGGAACGGAGAGGATCGGCACAATCAGAGACGCGGCTCCCGATTTCGATGTGGGATAACGGCGGGATCCTCGACGTCCGCGTGCGGCGCGCGGGCAATTTTGCACACACGCAGGACGTCGTATTTAGTCAGCGGGTGATTCGACATTCGATTGCGGTTAACCGCCGCGTCTGCGCTGGCGAGCTGGATTTCCAAAGACGATTACCGACGTTAAAGCAATTCATTTGCGTGCGACCCTCGAAATTAAAGCGAATCGCCCGGTGAGAGAGACCGGAGCGGCGCGGCGGCCAGTCCAAACTCCGGACGCCCCGGCGCGTCGGCGCCGGCTGAATTTCGCTGAGCGACGCACGAAAATCTTGTTTACCTTGCCGGCACGATGTGTGGTGCCGTGGCGCGGGGTGGTGGCCTCGTTAAGGCTCGCCCTTGTTCCAACGGTATATATCCTTGCCGGGAAATGCCACCGGAAAATGTCGACCCTTTCCCGACACGATCCCGCACGTCCCGCGCGCGAAACGCGTCAACTCTGGGAACGCCTTCCGTTATGCTCGGGCGATTTGCCACGTGAGTTATTCCATGCGTTATGCGCGGTTTATCACGCGCGATAAACAGATGAAGGAAAAGAACCGCAGAAGTTTATTTCGTTATTTGTTTGAAGAATGAGGAAACGCTTATTGTATGAACGTAATAAAAACATTTAAAACCGTTTTTCCCTCTGTTGAATAGATTATTAGAACATAAAAGTAACTGCAGAATCAGATAAATTTCGAGATTTTTTTCTTCTTGGATTAACTTTCGAAAATTTAATCTCCGTGCACGTCCTATTTATGTATTCTTCTGTGAAAATATTGTAAATAACTTCAAAATGAACATTTTAAATAAATTTTTACCAACGAAAAAGACGAAGGCATAAAATGTTCAAATAAAGTCACATAGGTATGTATAGTGATTGAATATTTTCTTGTTATTCTTGACATATTTACATATTTAATTAATGATATAACAAAATATTTTTATTATTCTTTTCTTTATATGGACAATTGGAGGAGCTCCACTCCTTCTCCATTGGGTCGGAGCTTTACTCTTTCTCGGTCAAACATTACAAAGATCTTTCTTATCGTCCGATTAATAAAAATAACCTAGACAACACAATGCCCAAAAAACCGAGACATAAGACGTCTTTGAATGTCTTAAGATGTCTTATGTCCCGATTTTGAACGTTGTGTTGTTTGGGAAACTGTGTGAAAATTAATATGTTAAATTATTCCTTTTCTATGTTGTTCTAGGGCATAATCTTATAATATGTGTACATATATAAAGATCAAAGCATGTATAAAACATTAATAATCTATTCTATATGTATATGCTAAATATTGTTAATTAGTTTAGAATATTGATATTGTTAGTTAGGTTAAAATGTTGAATAAAAGATTTTTCAGATATTACACGGCTTTAAACTTTTGTCGGTAAAAATCCATTTAAAGATATTAATTTTGAGGTTCAAAACATTCAAAACATTTTTACCGAAAAATACATAAATAGAGCGTAGATGGTTTTCAGATAGGTATGTACGTCCTTCTTTTATCTGTTTTTTTCCGAATAACATCAGAGCTCGGGAAAAAAGCTCCGAATCGTTAGCCAAAAAATATAGTATATTGGGGCCTAAGCGGCCCCGATTTGCGGGTCACGATTGAAAGTAACGATTAAACGAGAATTGGAACATCGATTGTTTTTCAGTGTGTTTCTAAAAGCGTCCCGCGCAAAAATGGCGGCGCGCGCGAAAATGGAAATTGCGAATAGGGATCATATTATGCCGTTCGGATCGGCGGACTTGTATAGCGGGGAATCAATTTTATTTCCACCTCCGCATTCGTCCACACACGCCCGAAAATGTCCACGGGGGAAAGTTTGAATTGGAAAAACACTGTTGGGGAACCGGGTTATCTTTTATTGCGTTATTTTTGATGAATGAGAAAACGCGCGACGGCGGCGGGCTTGTAGATATCGAGGATCTACTCCGACGAGCTGGGGATCGGGAGAATATCGTCGCTGGAATTTACAGCAGTGCATATCAATTTCAATAAGGAATACGTCACGGTGGTTCTGCGGTAATAAAGTGAGCCAAGTACGTAATTCACCTTTAATAAAATAACCGTCAACCGAGGACAACATATTTTTCATGGCTCGTAGCGCGCAGGAATATATCTAGAGAAAAAAGAAAAGAAATGGGAAAGGAAGAAGAGAGGAGCGAGATGGGAATAACGAATCTGTGCGGAATAATGGTACGATAGTATACTTTATTGAAATTTGAGATAGCTATATAATTTTATTTAATGTCATTTCTCCGGTGAAACCGATATATAAAATGTTATTCGAGCAATCAAGATATTTCTGAATGATAAAATAATTTTCACGGCTCGTCGCTGTGACTGGTACGCGCACGAAATTTGCATCGCCCAGACCTGCAATTTGCGAAATTTAACGTCCCTTTTATTGAAAGTGCGCGCGCATTGCACTCGCCTATCGGGGGGCGGCCGATGTCTCGAGTGTATATTAGCTTAATTGAAACGCGCCGTTAATATAATTGGTATTACGTAATTAATGCTGTAAAAACACCGGGTGCGCGAGTGTACTCGCATTTGATATTTTAATTTATGCCCGGCCGCTTCTACGCGGTCATTTCGCCGCCGACGATCGGAATTATCGCGAATTATGCGAGCCGCGCGGCGCTCGAAAACGAGCGAATAAGAGTTAACGCCCACGGGGGAGGGGGGGAAGAGTGTGCCGACACGATGAAATATAACGGATACGCGTCCTGTCGGTCTCACCCTGTAAACTCTGAAATGAACGGAATGTATCCCGAATTTAACGTTAAATTCAGCGCATTCACTGTCTCGTAAAGTCAAAATCTGCTTTTCGGAGCTTTTAAATTTTTGAAAATCTTTCACTCCCATCTTCTCCCCGTTACAAATTTGATTTTTTACTTTTTAAATCTAATAGAGTGCTTTCGTCACTAATATATTAGAGCGATTGCGATAGCCACTCCGAAACAAAGGGTTGTCACTCAATTTTCACTTTTCGTTACACTCGCATTTTACTCGTTTTGAGTGATATTTCACTTTTCAACTTTTAAAGAGTAGGTTTATTATTTGTAAAATCTGCCTTCAAATTTGCTTCCATTTCAATTCCATAAAATCAAATTTCGACATAAATGCCGCAGTTATACACATGGTTTAAATTCTATATTAATTAACGATGCCATTATTTTTGGAGAGAGAGAGAGAGAGAGAGAGAGAGGCTCCAGAGGACGGTGGAAGGATTAATGAAATTATAGGTTGACGCGCGGGATAATTTGGACGCGATCGGGAGGACATGTTTGTACTCACCGACGAACAATTTAGGTGTTTGGCGACCTGCATGGCGTAATTGGCGGCGCCTCTCACCAACGCCCAGGGTGAAAGCGCGCTGCCTGACATCAGAACGCTCCGATGGAACAGCAGACCTGCAATCGAGTCACCGTTGATGTCACGTACAGTGCGTGTTTCACAAAGGTTTGCTACGAAAGCAGCGAATATAGTAGATACATTTTTACTTTATAAATGATGTTAATTAAAGCGTAATTTATCAGTCTCAGAATAATAATTATAATAATAAAGAAATGAGGATCTTCCTGTTATTAAGACGTTATTAATATATATTTTACAGCGTTTCTCTCGGCAAATAGAGGCATAATTAATTATTAATAACACTTTGTAAGATCTTTAGTGCCTAAGTATTTTTCCTCCCATTATTATTATTATTTTTCCGCGCAGTGCCAGCGATGTCGTGATCTTCGCGTCCTTTGTACGTACACCGGGAAATGTTCCCGGAAATGTTTTGCATCGTAAAAATTCTATATCTTTTAGAATCGCTGCGATTCAAGATGCGATTCCGGAATCCGCGCGCGACGCGTGGAATCTTTGTGTCGCACTTTTTGAAAGAGAGAGAGAGAGGGGTGGCCCGCTTTATCTCGGGACTTGCAAATCGTATCTCGTAATGCAAGGAGTGTTTGCTCGCGTGTGGGGAAGAGATTATATATCGCGACGCACAGAATTGAATTTCGAGATGATTTCGGGGTCGATTCCCCCTGCTCGCGCGGACGGAACTACGATATTACCTGAGTAAACGAAATACAATCCGAGTTTCAATGCATAGTAACGAATACTCATCTCGCGACCGCTCGATAGATTTATTTCCAATCAACGACTTCCATTACGACGTTATCAGCGATTTCCGCTCTAAGGATGAGTCGCCGAACGTGCGGCCATGTACAAAGATGTCTAAAAAAAGAACCCGGATAAATGCATCGTGGTATTGGAAAATGCGATGGGAGAACTTTTGCGGAGAAAACTTATGTCACGATCTTATTTCGTATGTCAGTATACATTATGAAAATTACTTGATTATTATTATCTACATTTTTACATTGCTTACGTTATTCGCTCTATGTTAATATTACGTAAATGAGAAAATTAATAATTAACTGAACGAGCTCTCATTCATTTTTCGAGGCTGCTGAAACGTCTTTCTATTTAATTAATAATTTTTATTTTCTCTATCGGAGAAAATGGAGGAAAATAAAATGTTGGAAGTTTTTTTTCTCCGGTAGTAATAATAAAATGTATGTAATATTTTAAGGTAGAACAAAGAGTCGCGCGGGGGCTTATTAGTCATTAATTTTCTCATCACACGTCGTAAAATTGGACATTACGTAAGGGATGAATAGACAAGAGAGCGCACGGTTTGTAGCGCCAAGAAAATTAAGGCGGAAGGAGCGTATACACGACGTTACACAACTTCGCCGTGTTAGTTCATCTATTATTTAATACAGAAGACCGGGATAAGTCGCTTAATCCCAATTTTGTGAGTCGTTAATCTTGATATCTCGAGGAGGCGAGAGATATTCCATGAAAGATACTTTATACGTATATACCAAATCTCGTACACAGTGCTAGTTAAAAACTGTAAAAAACGTTCTTATTGATCATTTGTAATTAATTAATTTGTTGCAGACAGAGATTGGTTTTAATTATTTCTATATTATTATTAATATGTTGTGTTTATAATTCTCAATATTATTATTTCTAAATTTGTTATTTACTTACTGTTAATTATAATACTTTAATAATTATACGTTATTAATTTGCATGCAATACAAGAAAGGTTTGTTGTTTTCATTTAATAAATTTTCTCGCAATATCTGCGTATTCAAGCGAGGTGAAGGCAAAGTAAAAAGCGACAGACGATGTTTTCCCACGTCTAATCGCAGTTTGCTTGGCCAGCTATCTTGATATTCGACGAGATACGTCTTGGAGAATGTCTTGATCTTATCAGCCCGATATACACGTCGACATCTGATTCGGTCTCATTCATTTAGCGAAGGAGATACCAGGGTAAACTCTGAATATCCTGGGCGGCATCCTTGACGTATTTCCGACATTACGGAATCAAGATGGCCCCCGGTTCTTCCGATATCCGTCGCCGTTGAGAGAGGACGACACCGAACGATAAGACGGTGTCGAAGCTCGACATTAAAGGACTATTAAAGGATTATCGCCGGCTCAAATTCCGTCGCGTTACTTGGATTTAATGGCAGGTCTCCCATAATACCCGAGGATTAATTAATTCCTTCGAGAGAACAAAATCCCCCCCAGGAGCCAAGAGTTCGATGAATTAAAGGTGCGAGATCAAAGGAAACGAGGAATTGAGAGATCCGAATATTAGAATTTAAAAGATAGAAAAAAAAAATCTCTAATCCAAGAAAATCGAAAAATCAGAAGAGAGCTAAGATGCAGGATTGAAGCAATCGAGAAATTGAAAAATCATGAGATGAGTATTTAAGGAAGCCCAAGGTCCAAATATTCGAGCGTATAAATTATTCAAGATGCAGAATCAAAGAAGATGAGAAACTAACAAGAAAATTCGGGAATTGTTAAAGTCGGGATACAAAATATTGGGAACAGTTGAGATGCACATTGGACATATTCAATGAAAGATATTATATAGGTTGGCCAATAAGTCCGTGCGGTTTTTTTACTTATAACGGAAATAGAAATCTAGATTACAAAAAAAATTTAAATTTCACAGATTATTTTAAATCTAATGTTATAAAAGCAAAAATTATAGAAGAAATGTAAAATTCTTAAAAACATTTAAAGATCCGTAGTTTAACTATAAGAAATTAAACTTTATTGTTCTTTATTATTTATCGCCATATCGCGGTCAGTTTTTGCACGAGAAGTGCATCAGCTCGTAAAGAAGAGATACGATATAACTTTTTGGTCCGGGTCTCCCTGTTATTCTTCATCGTATTCTTCGATCACGTGCGGTAGTACTGGTTTTATCAACTTGAGGGGACAAAAAAAACAGAGTATCACAATCTGTTTCGTAACCGCAGAGCTTATCGCCGGAGGACCTTCTGGATGATAATTCACTACAGCTGCGAGTTGTCAATGGTGGTAGGGGCCAGCTGATTCCTCCATAATTTATGACGTCTGGTAAACCACCCCATTATTCCTGGCTTCTCCGTATCATTGTCTCGTGCGGGTTCTCGCTCTTCGACCTCTACCCTCTACGTCTCTCTCCTCTTACACTCTGCCGTTTCTACCTGACATTATCTGTTTCCATACGATGCGACAAGAGAAACAGCTTTCTATAGGTTAGTCTAAGACACTGTTACATGTATATTTATTCCGTACAAGTTCCTCAGGCCAAAAGACTTTTGAAAATATATTTTAGTCCTTTTCAAGAAAACTAGATATTTTGTTACATAATATATGTACAAAATGTAACTCATATACATATGCAGATTAATTGTATATTTTTCTTTATCTGTAAAGTTTATTGGCCAATTTTAAATCAATTTTTTTTGCCAAAAATTTTTGTACTTTATCTTTTTAAACTTTTTATTTGCACTGTTATGTACAGTTTCGTTAATGTAAATTGTTTTAATATAATTATTTATGTGTTATAGAACGAAGCGCCCTTGCGTTAATACAAATTTAACCCGGGAACGGGGTCACTTGGGGTGACTTTTTTTACTCCAGTGTCGAAGAAATGAAGCTTACGTCAGTAATTTTCTTTATCCATCGAGAATAATCCATATTCAAAAGTTCCAAGACTGAATTCACTTAATAGAAAAAAGGATATCCCAGGTAGCAGAATAACGTCTAAAGACGTCTTATTAATGACGCCTAAGACGTCATTAAAACGTTATTATGATGTCATTTGATGTCACTCTGCTACCTGGGATTTACATGGCAATACTGAAACAACATTGAGACAACATTTTTCAGACAACATTGAGTAAATCTATTATATATGGCTTCAAATACTAACAAGTTATAGGACAATCAAAAATATACAATATGCAATTCATAACAATAATTTTTAATTAGGATGTAAAAGTCATTCTAGAAATCGTTCCCGGATTAAGAACATTGCAAATGGAAACGTGACTCACCGTCGGGAACCGCGTGGCTGGTCATCAGGAAGTTAACGCAGGCAGCGCCGGTGCCGTGTCCTACCAGCGTGACGTTTTTGGGATCGCCCCCGAAATAAGCGATGTTCTCTTGTACCCAGTGTAGCGCCGCGATCTGGTCCATCAGACCATAATTCGCCGGCGAGCGTAAGTGCGAGTCTGTGTTGGCGTTTAGAAAGCCTGCAATCAAAACAAGCCCCCCGCTTATGGTAAATGCGACGCTCTGGGTGTCCATTATCGACGGTTACGGGTAGTATAACATCACCGTGATCGCACCGGAATTACCGCCGATGGGCTTAACTCCAATCGTCGCATGTCGCGGACCATCGAACGACAGACGAGATAAATCGTGGGATATCAATGAAATTGGGATTAGTCATTAATCTAATTGTAAATGGGGAAAATGAGCAAATGAAGAAAATCTAGAGATATAATATTATAGTCATTAATTTTTTCTAGGCTTAGAGATATAATTATGTTTAATCTTTTAGTGACTCTCAAGGTACATATAAAAAATTAATTATAGCAAATAGTTGATAATTTAACGAACTATTGATTATGTAAAAAAAAATCCTTTCGAATCTTGAATATTTATAGTAAATTACTTTTATATATTCATTAGTGATTAATCCGTAATTATAATGTTTTCATATTTTTCTTTAAAATAGTTATTTATAGTTATTAAACTCTACGATGATATTTTGAAGAAACTAACTACAATAGATTGTTTTCCTATATATGTTTGAAAAAATCCAATTTTTATGTTTGAAATCACAACACGTTTTAAAAAATTCCAATACAATTGTTACAGATTGTTGTGCTAAATTCAATTTACCTACATTCTGCTTGAAGTATTAACTGTTTTTTGCATCTATATCTGAATTATTTGGTCTGTTAGAGGAACCTCGCGCCGTACCCGCGCTGGCTCTCCCGCGCGAAAGGGCTAAATGGCTACGGGATGTAGAGATTGGCTCGTCTGGCGAGCAGCCGGGTATGATTTAGTGTTCAGATGGCGTATCACGTCCTACTTTGTGTATCGTTTCGCCGAGCGAGATATCGCTATCAATTGGCGGAGCCGAGGTGATATTTATGACGGCCGGATGGCGCCATTGGCAACAGTCTTACTCCGATTTGTCGGGTTCAGCATTGTCATGATACGCAAAACCGTTTCCCGCGACTTCGTCCTCGTCGAAATACATTCGTCAATAGTGCCGACTTTATTCTTTCCCTTCCGTTTCCGCCAAATAAATCAGGATTCGTAAATCTGCCAGCTTGTCTAGATTTGTGCATATTTATTCCCATATTTGTTCCATTGGGCTCCATAGTTTTATCGCCCACGGCTGAATACTGCATGGAAACCCCCAATCGCACAATACGAAGAAATTTCGACACTATGCGGCTGGAATAGTAACGAGATGATTCCGAGCTAAGTGCATTTCATTACATTGTACGGTAATTATGGCTATTTTCTTCCTTCTCCAGATCCAATTATAAGGAATGGGAACAAATTCGCGCACGCAATTCAGAGTTTTTGCCATTATCATAAAACGATATTGCCAATTGGTAAAAAAAATAAGAATTCTTCAGTGATATTATTCTTCAATTATTTAATTATCAATTTTATAATTAAACGAAACCGGGAATTAGCAGCAGTGTCAGCTATCCCAATGCAGTCAATCTCTTTTAATATAGATGGAGGAAGGAAATTAGATTAGCGCTAATCGAATCAGGCTCGGCCCTTGGAGGATTCTCTCCCGCCTTTTCCTTCCTTTCATTCGGCCCGAATTAAATCGCGAGCAACGATTGTTGTTGCTGGCAAGTTCGGACGTGATATTTCACCTTCGCAATAAAGGCTGCGCGCCTGGCCGGGTATGTTTGCCCCGTCGCGCTCCTTGAAACGCCCGCGCGCCATTAAATTATCCATCATATTTACCCGCCGACATACTGGAGATTGTTCTTCGCGGAAGCTAAGAGGATTATTCCCATTATGAGCCGCCGTGTATATACTTGTCGGTGCGCATTAACTTTAGGGCACTCGGTGCCTTAACAAGGGAGGCGTTACTGTCGTCAGGATCTAGGTCAACGATGTTGCGCCGACTGTTTCCCACCGGCCTTGGCAAATCGATAATTTGGGAAGCTTTGCCAGAATGGAAAAACGCCCGATTTTCCCCTTTCTAAGTTTCCACGAGATTACGTAGGGTTCTTGTAAGATTAGTTAGGGTTAGTGTTTCCCCCACAGATTGTTCAATAATTAGCCGTCTAATCGAATTGGGAATTGGGAATATTCGTGTCTTTCCCAGACGTATCTTTAACGACGTCTTTAAGACGTCTTATGTCTCTATTTTGAACATTGTGCTGTTTGGGTTAATTTTTCTCTATCTTTCCTCGGACTTCTCGCAGCTTAAAGTTTTATGGAAGACTGGGTTCGCTTGTTGTATCTATCTCCTAAGACTTTTATTCAATAGGACGTTAGCGATGCAATCTGATATCGATTGTTGGGAAGGGTGATTTTCGTACCTCCTTCGTACTTTCTCTCTCTCTCTCTCTCTTTCTCTTTGGATTTTCGCGACGTTGAATTCCTAGAGGATTAGAATCTTCCGAGACTTTTGTGTAATGGGATGTGTTTGCATCGCCTCGTACAATCTTTTCCCATCTTACCTACGAGACGGTGTTTCCTCGTCTTCTCGGCTTCTAGCCTTCGGGCCATGTCTGGTCCGATCCAATAACGATTCTTCGCGCTCTACGTTGTGGAGGAGAAAAAAAAAGCGTACAAAGCTTTTTCGCGCGCGCACACGTTCACACGCACCGCGGAGAGAGGTGCGAGAACATGAAAGCGGAATAGAAATAAAGCACCGGTCATGTCCCATTTGATATTCAACCTCCGGCGTATCTGTCGCGCTGCGCTTCCGCGTCTCCCATTCTTCTCGTTACAATAGAACTGCTGAACGCTATTCGTTGATTTAAATTTTCCGGTACACGCTGGTATACACGGGGCGGGTGGAAGGGAATAGGGTTCGGTGTATCGCGCGCCGGTCGGCGCGACGCTCCACAAAGCGCCGCATCATTTTTCCGAAACGAAGAAAAATGGAAAAAACGGGGGTTCTCGCACGCGCGCGCGGGCGCGCGGGCGCGAGGAAAAAACTGCGGTCGTTGCGGAGTGAAATTTCCTGGGCGTCTCGTCGCCATTTTATCCCACTACTTGCTAAGGCTTTTTTTCTCGCTGCTCTTTCTCTGTTTTTCATTCCGCCATCGACAGAATCGAATTCTAGAATTTGGATTTACTATTTGCTGTCATCGTGTGTCACCTTTCGAATTTACTTAACGAGATATGACCCCCTTTTGTACTGTAACACTCTTCACTATTTCCTTCCTTACGTATAAATATCTTCTTATCGCTTAACTCGGAAACGATCACCTCATTTTATTTTGTATAAACATAGGTACTTAGGGTGATTTTTATATCTCCAATTAAAAGTTATTGTTATTAATTATACGGGGTGTTCCTGCACTCAGTGCCAAAACTGACACAACGGCTTTTAGATTTTAAGCTTTAAAAAGCTTGAAACAATTTATTAATTCATTCTAGAAAGTGTGTTGAAGTCGACGGAGAAATTTTTGAACATTCTTTGTAAAGCTTTAAACAGAATAAAGAACTTTAATTTATGTTTTCTTATACAAAAGCAACTTCAATACCCTATTATAACTCCGAAACCGTACGGATTCGGGCATATGTTTATTAAACATTTTCGATTTATTTTTATATGCTAAATCCGATATGTCGGTTTCGGAACTGAATGCAGAGACACGTACCCTGCATATTGCATGTTTTTCATTGTTCTATAATTTATTAGTACTTGAGGACGGTATGTATATAAATTCACTCAATATTTTCTGAAAAAAAGTAAGGAGAAACCAAATAAATATTTTAAAAAACAGAAGAAGCACTTATTGTGTAACGTGAGTTTTATTTATTCGACACTGTGGTGTGAAAATCCAGAGGCGAAATTCTGTAACTTCTTAACGACAGTTTCGGTATCGTTGCGCAGCCTTTTTACCATATATAATACCTGCGCAATGATACCGAAACTATCGTTAAGGAGTTACAGAATCCCGCACACAGGTGACCGTTCCCGGATTAATCTTAAAGTATTTTACAATAACAGAGTAGTAAACTAATAATACAATCTTTATCTAAAATCTAAAAGATAATTTTAATAACATCACGCAGTTCAAATCTAATCTAAAACGTCGATTCCTGAGATCTTTAGATACTCTACTCAGCTTGAATTTTTAATTCCGTGGTTTTCAACTCTCTTTCGTTGAAATCTTAGGGCGAGAAGGTTTTAAAACACCCTGTATGCACAATGAGGGTGATGGACGAGAACAGCGGGGTTTGCTGTCGCACCGAAGAACGGGATGAGTGAGTGAGAGTGAGAGTGAGTGAGAGAGAGAGGAGAGAAGAGAGGGAGAGTGGGAGAGAAAGAGGGAGGGAGGGAGGGAGGGTCGGAGTGAAGTCAAGAATTTAGTTTGGTGAAACGGAAGACCTGGCCGTAATGAGTTTCCTATTAGATTTGGTTGCCCGGGTTGCCAGGCAACAACCCGGGTCGTCGGAACTTGCAATCCCCGTGGCCGCGTTCGCCATCGTTTCTTCGTGCTCTTCTACTTTTTCTGCGGTTTCTTACCCCGTCGTCCGGAGAGCGTCGCACGTCAAACGTCACGGAGTAACAAGTTCTATTTAATGGTGTAACCCCGCGCGCGGCAGTCTGCACCTCTTGGGCAGACGAGTAGGATACGTGTTTGGAACTAATTGACCGGTTTCAAGGACCGGTTGCACCAACACCGACCTCGGTCGGGTCATCTCTGTCGCGACCGCAGCTTCCAGTACTGTATGTTTGCCTATGGATCGGAGCAGGAAAATTGAGTAAACACACTTAGCGTTAAGTGACGTCGTTGGTGTAACCGGCCCTAAATAGCTAATGAGCTACGGTCGACTAGCTCGTTTCAAACCTTAACTGCTGCGAGGTAGCGTTTCACACCATTAAGCGAGCAACTAACATATGTGATTTATCTGAGTTCCGAACTGTTCGCAAAAGTTATATCTGACTCAGCAATCGAGATTAATTATCGAGGTTTAACGCAGACGAAAGGAAAGAAACGTACATAGAAACCTAAGAAATAAAAAATATATGTTGAAAATCTCAGAAATTGACGATCTACTAGAAGTAAAGACATTAAGAATTAAAATCTGTGTTTATGTACGGAAATTAAAGTAAACTTTTTTGAAGAATTAAGAAATTGGAAGTTTCATAAGACAAACCGGAAATGTAAAGAAATTGAAGGAAACTAGCGTCTAGACCCGAAGTTTAGCAACTAATAGATCCCGGAAGTTGGAATCAATTACTCAAAAATTTAAAGAACAGGAGAACTATTTTAAGACTCCAAGGAGATGACGCGTCAACAACTTCGGGATTGAATCCCCAACTCGAAATGTCTGGTCACATCCAAGGATAGACCAAGATACAGGAATCCTCGAGGACCTATAGGATTGCCAGGTCCAAAAAACAGGAGATTTGGCTCTCCAGGAAAATCCAGGATTCCACGACTGAAGGGATCTAGATGTCACCGAATTGGGACCGAAGGCATCTGTCATGACTTACCGAGAATGCCGAGTCTATAGTTGATGGTGACGACGACGACACCTCCGTAACTCGCCAGGACGCTGCCGTCATAAGGATTTCCGCTGCTCCATTCGTAGCTCTCGCCGTGCACGAACACAATCACAGGATACCTTCTGCCGCCGCCGTCCCTCGCGCCGGCTGTAATCAATAAAATTATTCTGGTGATCGATCGACAGTCTCGACACCTGATAGTTCACGTCGCGCGGCCTTAAAAGGTCATTTTTCAGTCTTTTAAGGTTCTACGGAAGTTTTGACAGCCGGGTAAAGAATTACCGTGTCCTGAGGAAATGCAAACTTTACCAAACCAGCAATCGAACGGTCATATCCTTTACAATCGTAAATTATTGCATATTTGCAATTTGCAAGAGATACTACTGGTACTAGTCGCAAAACCAGAATATATTTAGAAAATTTAAATGCAGGAAAGAATTATGCGCGATTGCTTCGACGATGAAGAAACATCCTGCTATATATGCGCACAATAAGTCAATAAATGATTAATATAAATCAATCGAGCTAACACATAATACAAGATAGTAAAATATACTATTTAATAATAATGAACAAAAATCAGATAGATTTGTAATTTAACCTTTAATGTTATGTAAGTAAAGATATACCTACATATGTAAAATGTGCGTAATACGCGAAAGATTTCGATGCTCATTCAAGTTCTGTGCCTAATGGACAAGGTGTGTGCCTGTTGGGCGACGTGTCGCTTTTGATGTAATTAAAACAAGCGGCGGGGTGGCGATGGCGGTGACTCGTACACATGAAAGGGGTGTGCGTCAATCTGATTTGCCATGGTAATGCCGGAAGGGTGAACACGCGAGGGTGATCGCTGCGGCCAGACCGAGCACCGGTCATAATTCAACAAATCACGCGTCATCATCCTCGCGATAGCGCAGACCCGCATCACGATCACCCTGTTGCCTTCTGCATCCTTTGGCCCCTCCCCAACCCCTCGTGAAACGCAACGACCCTATGACAGGTCGCATCGATTAGTTTACAGCTCTCTCTCTCTCCCCCTCTATATCTCTCTCTGATTTATATACATATATATATATATATATATATATATATATATTACATTTATAATATTTAATATGTTTTTTATAATATTTCTAATAAAATACAATAATTTTTATAATATTTTTAACAAAACAGCAATAATTTCTGTTTCCGAATTTGTTTTAATTATTAAGCAAAAATATATTTCAGATTTTGTCCTCTTTTTACTTTAGTGACAGGGAACCGTAATTAAAATTTTATATGTAATTTTAGAGTTGACCTTATACAGTTTCCTGCTTTGACGTTAAAAGTTGCAGTACAACAAATATGAAATTAAAGCTCAGTTTAATTTCTTCTCTTTCAAGATTTATTTCCTAGAATTCTTCAAAAGTAATTTAAGCCGGTAACGTAAACTCTTTCGGATATTGCGTAAGGAAGGAGATTTTGTGTGATATTCATTTCCACTCTTAGTAAGTTAATTTGCTAAAAAAGAGATCTCGTAAGGATAAACGCATCGCGGAAAATGGACAGCCGTCAATGCGATTAGAGGAGTAAAACGACCGCTTGATTGCCCGGCCGTGCTAATTAAGTGAACGTCCAGAACGATGACGATTCGGTGGCCAAATCAATTAATGGGCCGCAACTACGCCGGGCTAATTATTATTTTCATTATCGTCCTTGTAGCTTCCTCACGTGCCCTTCCTAATTGGCGACTCCGCCGATTGCTCGAAATACACGTCCCCAGATACATGTTATCCGCTAAAGCCCATTTTATACGAACTAGGAATTCGCAGGAGAATTCTGTCACTAATTGTCTACATGTAACGCCGGAAGTGCTGAAAGCAGTTACCTTCTTGCATTTTTTTTTTGGAACACCTTAAAACGCTCTACAATATCTTTTTATATGCGAAAGAGTGGTTTTTCTTATCAAAAAAATTAATGCAAAATAAAGGGTAAAGTTCATCTCAATATTCCTAAACGTTATCAACATAACTTTTATCATTAAAACAAAATTTATTGTTTATTTATTTTAATATTATATTATATTACATATATTAAGTTATAAAAAATTGTAATTTATAAATCTTTGAGTTTTTCTAAAAGTTCAGTAATATTCGAAGCTTCAGGGCTTGGAAAGCAAACACAAGAATAGAAAATTTGCAATATTCGAGAATAAAAATTTAAATCCGAGATAAGAAGACTACAATATACGAAAGGGAGAACGCGGTTTAGCCTCAAATGCCAATTTTCGATATCAAATCCCATACATTCAGAATTCGGGGTATTGAAGGATCTCGCGCAATCGCAGTTTTGCGTTTTTCTCGTAAACAAAGAATAAGAATCTCATTTCCCCGTTACGGGAGGGAAAATCGGGCTTTCAACTTATCCAGCCTTGTGGCATGGCGGCGCGGCGTGGCGCGGCGTGGCGCGACGATATATTATTTCGGCCGTGAATAAATTTACAAGCGCCCTGTCAATATTTGATGCGATCCACAAACAATTTGCCGGGGTGCCTCTAACGGACTTTACATATTCATAGAGCGGTGCTCCGTAGTTTGATATCGTGAATGGTAAACGAGAACTACCTGCGTTCCCCGTTAGATCGCTTTATTTTGCAAATTCGATATTGCATCCGCCTTCTTAGCAACGCTTTCTTTAATCCTTTCGGCCTCCGTTGGCGAATGTCGCCAACACGGAGAAAACACTTTGTGCATTTATTACGCAGAAATCGAAACTTTTCTAATCCGGGTCGATTTTACGTCATCCGCGATTTAATTTTAACTCTCGTCGCCACAATGCTCGAAAATGCAAAAGCATTAAAAGAAAACTTATTAAATTATAAAATGTGGTTTCTGCAATTTTTACCCATAAAGCAGAATGAAATAAATATCGATATTTCGTTAAATTTAAATAAATCGTATTTTTATTATTGCACTATTTGATATCCTAAATTGAATGGGTTTCAAAAATAATATTTTTATTAAATTTCAATAAATTATTTCTACGCGTCAATATAAATATGCGAATATTAAATGCTCGTTTACCACAAAAATTCAAAGAGTTTTATCGCAGGAGCTGGAGCTTTCTCTCTTTTGTGTGTATGTGTGTGTGTAGTCATGATATTTATATATCATTTCAAAAAAATCGTCTTTCTTCTAATCTCAATTTCAACTCTCGGACTATATTTCGTTCTCCCAGTTTTGAAACGTTACATATATAAAGAAAAAACGAATGGACAGGAATGCAAAACTGAAAGCGGCAGGGTTAACGTCAGGATAAACCTGCACAATGATGCGCGGCAAGGTCGGATGCAACTGCAGTGCAGCGCACTTTATCGCGTCGTCCCGCGAGTTACAGTGACACAAGCAGGATTACGGTGTACAGATAAGGACGACGGTGCGGTTATCACGGCTGCATTCATTGCCTGTATTCACAGCAGAATCGCCGCGGTAAAAGCTTCGCATACAGTCCACAGAAGCGACGTGCACGCTGGATACGCTCGTCTTATTAAGAGATGTCCTTACGACTGTGCTCTTATATGTGGCCACTCACGAAAATGACGTTTATCGTCCTCGTAAATCTTATTGCCCCTTCCTTTTTCCCGGATTTCTTCGCGGGATAATTGTTTGCTTCGGATAAAGAAAATCCGACAATTGCATAAGATAGAAAAGTTAGAAATTCAATAAACAAGATTAAAACTTAAAGATTAATTAAAAATAAAAATGTAATTTAAGACAAAAATTCTGAGGAACGAGAAAACTTTAAAATAAAAAATATAAATAAGGACGAAGAATGTGAGCAGAGAAACGGGAATTAAATTGAGAATAAGTAGGTCTGAAAATTCGATAATGCGCGATAATAATTGTAAATGTATAAACGTTCGGGTTATTGTAAAAAGTTGAAAAATTTTACAACTCGGTATTCTAAGAGCCAATTATCTCGAGAATCCCGGGCGTTCGATTCGAGGATTCTGAAATTTCGACGATCATAAACGTAGCTCTTGTATCGAACTCGTTCCCGACTGCTACGCCGAGGCCCTTCACCGTAAATTCTCCTCAATATATCGGCTTAAACCACCTCCTTGATTCTGTCGATATAGATCCTATCATTTTCCGAATTGACGCGCTTCGGCACGTACGTATGGATTTTAACATCGACGAGAGAAAAAAGAGACTTTTTTTTCGCGCCGCTTTTGCATCTCATTTTTTGACGCATCTCCGCATTGGGACTACCAATTTTTTCGGACCGATTGGAATATCGAGAGCGTTACATCATAAAAATGTCGTTAAAAGTTTTTTATTGCGTCATTATTTTCTCTAATCGAAAAATTCGAGGTGGAAAATTTCCCCAAAAACGTGAATCGCCAACGGCGGACGATGACATGAACACGGTCGCAGACGGCTTGTCGTTATTTTTATGCTCGACGTTACCGCGTCTCTTCATGTGTTAAAAAAACAAGCTCGAAAAGAATTTCTCAAATACAGTTTTTTCAGTCTTTTTTTATTTACTTTCACAAACTTTTGTCGAGTAATTTCAAGTTACACTTTGTGTTCATTCTTTTACATCCTCTTACGTTATACTTTCTAAATTTCATCTTCGACTTTTAAAGAGTAATATCACCACTCTCTGACCTTTCTTTGGCGAAAACATCGCGATATTTGAATAAAAATAATATCGTGAAATTTCGTTTAACACATTAAATATATGTTTGGCTTAAGTACGACACGAGGATCGCGGTTCTTTTATATCCAGCGGACAATCTTAAACTGTTTTATATATCCCTTTTAGCCACCTTTTATGTCCGCGAGAAGGTGAGCGAGTCTCCATTTACGAAATCTGCCTCAAAGATATCCTGACGGAGAGAAACAGGCCGGGAGAATGGAAGAACTGGGGGAATCATTTGAGATTTTCGTACTTTTCGGATTTTCAACTTCCATCCTAGCTCTTACCTCGCGAGCGCGCCGATAAGGGGCGCATAAACGAGCATAGGTAAATGAGTTCCGCCATCGGTCGAGATTTCCGCGTCGTAAAATTTCGTTGCTAGATATGTGAAAAGCACCACGCTAGATATGTAAAAAGACGCTTTTTTTTCGTTCACTCGTTCGTTCGTTCGTTCGTTCGTTCGT